AAAGGTGAAACGTATTTCATGATGTGCTCTTCAAAGAAAGTAACATAGCTAAGAATGACATTTCTTGCAGCTCCAGGACTTTCCATATAATACTAGGTCACTTTCTCAAGGGGCAGTGATCTTTCTACTGTCTTCAACATTCTGTAGAACTGTCCTTTCAGTAGACCCTGAAGAATAATCATTTGTAGAATATTCATTTGTGAGTTTGGAGGAATGTAAATGTAAATTTTATCAGGTATCTCACCTTGCGATGTTGGCTTTTGACCTTAGACAATCTAAACAGGTTTCATCTGCATCAACTCCATGGCATGTGCAGGCCTCAATGAAAATATGTATTTAATTAAAATTCATTTCTTAGGTAATTTAATGCATTTTACTAATGGATATAAACATTCAATTCAACAAAATAAAATCATTGATAGCTGTTTATCACTACGGCCATGTAGTACCTCAAATTTGGCTTGATACCATTCTACTTTCAGAAAACTGAACTGATCATAAGTTGATGGAATAATTAAAAGCAAGGAAAATATCAAGAGAACTAATTACCCTTATTGCATCACAAAATGCACAAAATTCCACACTATATCCTTTCTCGCCAAGAAGGAAGGAGCAAGGCCTTGTAATCAAGAGTCACAGCAGAAACAGGAAATTTAAGAAAACAATTACAGAATATACCTTGATGTTCATAACACGAGACTTAACAGATAATAAAAAAATTGGGTCTCAGGAAAACTCACTTCTCCACATGATTTAACTTAATTTAAACAATGACTCAATGTTGTTGTGCAATGAAGTAATACTAGGCTCTTTATGGAATGTTTTCTTTTCCTTTTTTCAGTGAGTAACTCTGAATGTTCAATTCAACAGAAAGTTTTAGCTGCTTTACTTAATTAATTCCAAACTTTGTCATTTTGCAGTTTACTTTTCCCCTTAGCTTTCTATCTCTCCAATTAAAAGTCATGTGTAAAATAAATGTTGTACTTTTGCCATCAACCCATATTCCATGTTTTTTGATGACATCTTTCTGATTATTGAAATTCTCAAGTAACTTTCTTGCGTAGCTTTAAATTTGACCAGATAAAAAAGGAGAAAAAAATTAAAAGAGAACACTTGCAAAAGCAACTTCATTAATGCAATCCCACTTATCTGATTATTCTACTATTTACAGCAAAAATGATGGCAATAATGTAAGTACACTGAGATCTTACTTTGAAGAGCCTTTAAAATTATTCAAAGTCTTCTCTTCAAAACCAGTAACATGCACTATTGTCTGCATGCACCAGCTTATGATCCAATACACATTTTTAAACTGTATTTCTTTTATTTTTTTAAATGATTAGAAATGAGGTTATAATTTTTGTTCACTGACTGTTTGAACTGACTTACTTAAATCACCGCTTACCTTTTCTCTTTACAGTTCCCAATTGCAAGGGGGTAAATAGACAATGCACTCTTAAAGCTTTTGTTTTTAAAATCAGTAGGTGCCAGGCCTACAGCTACTTGGTCTTTACCTAAAGTAAACCAATACAAAGACACCTTTACTTAATCTGGCAGGGATTACAGTTTCATACTCAAGACTAATAAGTCAAAAAAAATTTACTCAAATGAGAACACACCTCCAAGAGGGCGTCCATCGAGTTTAATGTTAAACTCTTTGTCTTCTGAGTTGTATGAATGGAAGTGTTGCTCCCTAATTGCCCAGACAAGAACAGAATTTAGATGCACATTCCAAGCATCAAAACTGCATCCTTGACCCTGGAAATCCTGAATGTTTTCTACACTGCAGAGAAGACTAGTTTCTTCAATGCTTTTATCTCATTTTTTGTGAGCAGTACAGGTGTGTCCTCAGTTCTCTGTAAAAAAAAATCAACCGAAAACAGGTTTAGATCAACTGTCACTTTATAAATATTAAAAAGGTTGACATCAGTTATGTTCAGAAATACATTTCAAAACAACCCACTAGGAGAAGTCTCAATAATTGCTTTATGTATCGTGTTCAGATTTTCAAGGCATAAAACTGAATGAATAAATGTAATTCTCCCCTCAGAAGGAATCATTTGAAAACTGGATACCTTACCTAAGGTGTAAGATGTAATTTAACTCATAAAAAAATCAATATGTTGTACGTCTCACCACGATGCACAAAATCATCCTCAAATAATGAAATCATGAAATTTGAAATAGAACTCTTATGAATTTTGTCAAATACAACCTTACCTGAGGTTTACATTGCTGGTAAGAAAAAGGATCACATGACCGACAGCTCATCGCGGTAGAAACAAAGCAATGAGAATAACATAAATAACAAAATACTTAAATTAAATGAATGCAAAAACCTCTACGGTTAGTAACTCACCCCACTCTTTCCTTTGCGAGTGTTTGTGGTGAAAGAAGCTCGGTCAGACCATTCCTTGAACCCTTTGATTTTGTAATAATTAGATCAAGGACTTCTGAGATAATACCCTGTACTTTTTCCTCTTTCCCATCCGTTCCGTACAAGAAGCTGTTTCCGAGGACGGCAGCGATGGACCCATTGTACCTCTCAGAAACGTCATCAAGGACAGCTGTTATCTTCCTGCACCTTTTAAGAACTTGTCGTTTCTTGCTTATTGTTCCTAAATCAGATCGGTTCTTTGTGTCATCGATTGAACTACACGAGGAACTGGACGAACTTAATGGAGTAGATGAGCAACATGGGGAATTAGGAAGGGAAGAGTCGTCTAAACTTGCCTCCGTGCTCGATTCAAGATGGGAAATCCGTGCTAGAAGTTCCTTCACTTCCACTTCAAGGGAATTTACTCTCGCTGATCTTTCGGTAAGCAAGGAAACGAGCTCCTCGGAGTCTTGACTGATTTTGGCGCCAAAAGATAAATTTTTCACGCCCTCGGACTCAAAGTCCAATGTGGTGGAGTTCACCAGATTTACGATAACCATAAATCCCGTTCGTCGGGAATTTTTTTATTGCGAAGAAGACCAGTAACTAGACCGAACGTGGACACAACGTGAACGACGTCGGGAATCCTGTCCATCTCCAGAACTCCAAACGATGATTTGACGGGCTGAAGTTCCCGCGCGGCGACACTTTGGATTTCGTCGGGAAATATCTTAAATACATCGCGTATGAAAAATTACACAGAGGGACGCCACATACCTCTTTCAAAAGTAGATACCAATGCTTGGAAGGATCAAGTATGGCACTTGTAACCTTGTAAAAACTCTGAGCGGTAAAGTCAACCGGGGGCAAGGCGCACGTCGACAATCCGACTGCCTCCATGACTTCACTTCCAATGATTTAGAAATCGAAAAAATTGATGCTTTTCGATTTTGAAAATTTCGCCGAGGTTTAATATTAAAATATTAGTAGGAGTTTAACCACGATAGGTGGCTTAGTCGTGAGATCGCCCCGTCTTGTACGAAAACAATAACTTTGTAATGATCGGAAAGCGTGAACATTGATCGATGCACCAAGTGGTGTGAAAATAACGTTTGTTGCTGTTATGTGGCAAACTAAGCGAAAGAATACATAAATAATTGAAACAGAGACTTTTATAAATACGGCGGCCAGCAGGCATTGCCTCTTCTGTGAAAAGGGAAGGTCTTAAAAAGACTACATGATTAGAAACGTCATAATAATGAAGAGAAAGGCAGTATCAGAAAGAACGTAGTTTTTTATTGAGCATTACGCATAGCAAATTTCCTAATGTTTCATTACTTCGATTTTCATTGTTAATAAATGACCCCATGTTAACTCGCACGCAATCGCGTATCTCTCGCGGATTCCTGGGCGCCAAGTCTGGTAATTACATTGTGGTGTAATTTATATGATGACTCCTTCTTCCCCAACCCTCGGCATCAGTTTACGATGCCTGCTGCGAACTCTTTTCTTGAGCAAAGCTCGTCATGTGGCAAACTAATTCAAACGATCATGATAGTCTATGATAGTTTCAACTATCAAAAACGTTTGATCACGAACTATCATGCACTATCCTCAACTATCATCAACGATAATGCAGTTTGGACATGTTCAAATTCGAGATGAAAGTTGATGATAGTTTCAGCCGTTTGAGCGAGCAAATAATAGTAAATAATAGTTTTTCGGCCAGCAGTTTTGCCAAAAACGGGTTCTAACAGTAAAACGTAGCTGCCAAATTTTCTCAGAATGTCTCTGTGCATTCTAATCATCTGGCAGGCTTCAGTGTCTTTAACTCGCAACTTCTTAACTTAAATTTGCGCACTATATTGGTCTTCAATTACGCGATCTCATTCCGTGATTTTCTCAACCATCATCAACCATCAAGAACCGTTTGAACGGGGCTTTAGACCTAGAGAGACTGCGTCTTAATCTTTTGCGAATGACACTGTGCAGTCATTTTTTCTTCAGAGATCACGTCTGTTACCCGATTAATTCGAAGAACAGGCATTCGGTTATATTTACCCCTGGATATGTTGTTTCCATCCAGGAGTATTAAATGCAGGGAAACGCTATGCAAATTCCGTGGCGTTAAAACTTCCATGGCAGTCTGGAAAAACCCTTTAAAATTAGCTATGCTACTTTAGGGAAGGGCATTAGGGAAGGTAAAAAGCATTTTAAACTTTTAGAATGAAATAAAGCATTTTGTTGTTCTCCTTTGTCTTTTATAATTATAATAAAACGTTGTTTTGAAGTTGTCAAGTCAAAGACAAATTGGTAGGCCATAGGTAGTAATGCTGGCCTTTGAATATTTTAGGATATCATTCTCTCTCGAATCGTCTCTATTGTCATTAAAACCGTCGGTATACGGATATCTAAATTCATCGCCTGCGAGCAGGCACTTATTTTTAGTAGCGCTACAGGCTGCGCGTTTTTCCACCCTTGGAATATTTGAGACGAGTCGAGGAGAGGTTCCACAGGGACGTGGCACTAGTAATCAGTGCTTGACCTATTGCAGACCTCTGGCTGGCTCGCGCTGCTCAAAGCCTCTTAGTTTCCCACGGAAAACTTAAATATCCACACTCCATTCCCAGTAGGTAACTTCAGCCGCATTTTTATTACTTTCATCATAATTATATGCAGCGTCTCTCTTAATTATATGCATTCTTGTCTCACTTCCATTCTCTCGAAATGATAAATTTCCAGTTAGAGTAATTAACGCTTACCAACAATTTTCACTTGAATCTTACGAATCCACGCTCCTTCCATAGTAAGCAACTCACAGCTAAATTCCCCGTTACTTTCATCATATGCAGCAGTCACACTGAAGATAACCAAAGTGAGTCGTTGGGAAATCCAAGTGAAATTGAACTTATCCTCAAAGGCAGGCGCCACCTTTGCACCTGATCCTCCCGGTCCACTTAATGCGAGACTTTCAGCGTTAAACTTTACATTCACCGCAAAAAGAGTCACTGACGTCAAACTGAAGTTCCAGCTTAGAGATGCAGGATATCCTTCAAAAAGCTTTACCTTTGCTGGAGTTGGGTCATCGCCTGCACTCGATACTGTCTTAACCGGTAGAGGTTCATACCATGTGACACTTCCACAGTCTGAAATCGAAGATTATTCACACCTACATTGAGTATTGCTTGAATGGAAAATTATTTGCTTAAAAGAGAGTGATTCCACCATAAACAGAGGGCTTTTTCACTATCCAGTATAGTTCATCTCCTGCAGCTGCACCAATACTATCTTTAGAGGTAGAGGTTCATTCTATGTAACAATTTCGCCGTTTTAAACTGAATATTTTTGGTCGTTAAAGGAAAGGATCGATCACATGTTATTTGAGCGCAAACTGAAAACAGCTGAATCCAGGTTGTTTTGTTTTTTCAGTCACGTTGCGGAAATGCAAGGGACATATGAGCTAATGCACAATGGCTATCGAACTGAGTGGAAAGCAATTTTGTCTGAAATCATATGCGCGCTTGATGCTTTTCAATTGCGAACGAGCTCGCCGCGTCAGCTTGATTTGAAATCGCAAGTTTCACGTCAGACCAAGATTGCACGACACGAAGTTCAATTGCCATTTTGTTATACATTTCTTTGGAATCGCAAAATTCAGTCGCCCAGATACAAATAGTTCCAAAAGTTGTCTTCCATTTTCCTGCAATTTGATTTGTTTCCTAACACAAGCCTTGAAGTATGATTGTTTGCTGTGGTTTAGTAAAGCTGTCTCACTGGCTGGGGAAGAGATACGATCTAGAGCACCAAATGGTGCGATTCGCGAGTAAATCGCACCGATGAGAGCCAATCAGATTGCAAGGATCTCCAGTGATTTCAAAATGTATGTAATAAAAAGTGAAAGTTCTGATAAATTGTTGTTAAAAAGCGACAACGAAAAATCGTATAGATTTATCAATTTCGCACTCAATCAGGCAGACTCAATCAACTGCCCTTTCAGCAGCAGGTTTGCTAAGGTTTCAAGGTTTTCTAAGGTTTTTAAAGCCAGGAGAATTCGGCATTGGTGTTACCAACACCAATGCTAAAAACCCAGTTGGGAATAGACTCTAAATTAGCAGTGACTTTAATCTACCTCGCCATTTTAGTTAAAATATCCTGTTGTAACTTGTTATTGTGCATGCAAGAAGTTCCTAATTTGTAATCAACTTTAAAGATCCTAGATGAATGATTAAACAACAACAAAAGGCTAAGAGAACAACCCTTACCAGGACATGGCCAAAAAATGCTTCTCGTTAAAGACACGTGACCTATCGTTACAATTTCGGGATCATATCAAGCTTAGAGAAGTGATTATACAGCTAACCGTCGTCATTTTTTCGAACACCCGAGTTACAGATACAGCAGAGATCACCGAGATCCCTACATCCCTGCTTAACCTCTTCGAATCATTTGGGGTTACGGCTGCGAAAGATCAATTAATGTTTTGTCCCTTACTACAGAAGATGACCGAAAAAGTTGCGGCCAAGGCCAAAAATCTTTTTGTCCGGATTTTTGTCGAAACTTCTCGAAATAATTTGACATAAGCTAATGATTTCTTCTGTTTACATGTTTAAAGAATAGTTCTGATAAGAATAGCATTGATGGTTTCTGCAGTGGGAGATCTCAATATGGGGAAATTTAGGATTCATCAAGGACCCATTCATGAGTGAGAAAGGCAAACTAAAGCACGCTTTCGAGTTTAGAGAAGAGCATGTACGAGAGTTCTCAATTTCAATCGATTTCTCTGCTGCAATAGCACGACTTGAATATCTTTAATATCCCTATTCAAGCTATTAGGTTAGTGGTAGGGTTTTAGTTATACCCAAACAAACTCAAGAACATTAAAGATTGATTGTCCGGGAGGTTTAATTATCGAGACATCATTTGGTTGAAGCGCTTTTCATCATGCTTTGATTCTATAACTAGCGGTTGTTTCAAAAATAGCTGAAGTGGAAGAGAAACAACCGCACTTAACGAATGTATTGTAATGATGACCAACAGATCCAACGACCCTCTAGTGAGGAAAAAAGCTTCTCGCGTTGGAGGCAAGTGTTCCTTTCTCATGCTGGACTAGTGTATAGAGAATGTCTGAGTAAACTTAAATTTCTGTTTACTTGACAATGTGAGACAAGAGAAGCAGATCTTGAGTCATATAATCGGAGGCACTGGTGCAGAACGATTGGGCGTCCGTATAATGATTACTCAACGAAAATAACGATTTATTTAAATATATCGTTATTTAAATATATCGTTATTTAAATATATCGTTATTTTATATCATATAAATATATGTAAATAAATATTCTTCTCAGCGATCGTTGTTAATATGATGATCGGCTGCAATCGACAGCCTCTCTGGCTTCCGACAGCAAACATAATTAATTATAAAGCGTAATGATAGGCGAACTTATGTAAATTTGGACGACAGGCCTCTTGATAGTTTCTGTTTGCGCACACAGCTGAATGCCAAAGCATTCGATAGCTGCAACGGTTCCCGACTACTTTGTTATTTGGTTGCGCCTTATCTCTCGAAAGAGCCGTGATCTTTTAAAAGGCGTCTGTGTCTTTGGATTAGCCATACGCTGGATGAGGATCGATCTATCTTTGAACTGACACATCTCTAATTTAGCACTTACACAGTTAACATAATTTAATCTTGTCGGACAGTCACTTACCTGAGTATTGGATCACAGAAAGATAGATCAGGAAATGTGAAACGATAAATAGTCTCATCTCAGCTAAGACAATACCCAATCCGCCTGAAAAGGTAAGGAGTTTCAGTGTCTATGTTGTAAATCCTGTCGCCAAACTTTTTTTCCTCTTTTGTAACAAAGCATAGTTTACGTAACGAGTGCTACCCACAATTCCTTTAGCACTACCTTCTGTTGACTGTTCCAACGATTGATAATCAACTACACCCTGAAGAAGGGCTAACGCTCGAAAGGCATGCTTAGAAACTCTTTACAGTGGTCAGTTTATAATTATTTCAAATGATCTTGTGTTACCCTATAATGTGTTCATTGTCTCTAAACTTACTTGATTACCGCTAGGAGAAAGATTTTGGAATCACGAGCTTTCCAGAGTAAACAAGATGAGGTGTTCCGTGCAGCTTAGGAAGCAGATGCCTCTAAAGTATGAGTGTTTAAACGGTTTTACAGTCAAGTCGGCTGAGAGTCATCTCGCCCGAAGTCATGTCGCCCGAAACCTAAGTCATGTTGCCCGAAATTTTAGTTATGTCGCCCGAAAAAAAAGTCAAGTCGAAGAAACAAATACTAAAAAGATCAGAATTTCAGACTGTTAATAGGCAATAAAGTGGAGAAATTTTTATCACTAAAGCGCTCTTTGTTTCCGACAACGCCAGAAGATTCTTAAAGCGTTGTTCGTTCCTAAAAACAAAAGGAAATGTTTTTCGTTTCCAGCAACAAAATGCAGCGCTGTTCGTTTAGTATGTTATCGTTTCTTACTCACGGACGTTTCGTAAGCTTGAGAAACTTTTTCTTGGTTTCTAACAATACCGTGAAGACTTTGACCACACAGAAATCGATCGTATGCTCGGAATTGAAATATGTTTGAGTAACGATTCTA